ATAAAGTATAGGAAATAGATTATTTTATTTGAGCCACACACCCAAACTTATATTAGTGGTGTGAACAACTTTCAATTTTGTTGGACATATCAAGGAGCATTGATAGACGAAGTATTAAATGAAGAAGTCATTTTGGATGTGACTTAAGGTATATGACGTCTTACGCAATGACAATTAATAAAAGTCAAAGCCAATCATTAAAACACGTGAGATTATTGTCCAAGAATTCAATTTTTAGTCATGGTCAACTTTAGTTCCTGTCTTTCGAGTGACCAATTGACGTGGTTTGAAGATCTTGATTTGTAATGATGACCTACAATCTTCAAATACCACAAGGAATATAGTGTACAAGAAAGTGAACCTTTAATTTAGACTATTTTTGTCTCCACTATTAATTTCTCAATATTAGTATGTAATGCTTTTAATCTTTATATTGAATACAATTTATTTCATGTCTTAATATATACTATAATTTTAATATATTATTATTTTTCACATAATGTGTCCAAGCCTCCAAGGTAGTCAAAATGGCCATACATCCTCAACTTGCAACTTGGAGAGTATAATGCTTATTTTATATTCGTCCGTCACTGACACTTTTTACGGAGTATTCCGTAGTTCACAAGGGCATTATTCCTTAGAGCGAACAGACCCAGCCCGCTCGGCCCCTCCACTGCATTTTCACGACGCCGCCTCCGGCCCTGCCGGCGCACGCTCCCACGGTCCGCCCGGCGCAGACTCCTCCGTGGTAGCACCTCAACGTCTTCCGCCGCAGGCAGATGCCGTGACGTAATTTCCCAGGTTTCGTTCGAAACTTCAATTTTTTCAAATGTTAAAATATTCTTCAGGTTTACTTTATTTAGATCGTTTTTTGAGTTTTTTAGTCATTGGTTGCGATGATTTCATGGGTTTGTGTTTTTAAAATTTAAGCATTGCCGTGTTTTTTCATTTTGAGAAAAATCTATTCATTTTTTAAACCCTCAGATTTAACTAAAGCAAATACAGGTGCATACATTGATATAGATTATAGACTTAGAGTAGAAATCTTAAGAGATCATATTTTAAGATTTCAGATTTATTACATTTTTGAATAGGTCTTTTTGATCTACTCAGATATAGCTCGCAAGTGAATAAATTATTTTGCCATATCAAGGGTGAACCGCGGGTCATTCAACCCGTCACACTGCCAGCACAATTACTCCCCACCCCAGAGCCTTGCTTTGCACTTATCTAATGTGAAGTCAAATGTATGCACACTACTCTTCCTTGCTGGCCTCCTTAGAATGCCATCTGTTGTGACCGAGATCCACCACACAAGCACTAGCACCACTGGGATGGCGAAGCTTCAGTCTTCTTACTCTTCAGCACCCTTGGCCTTGTTCTGGAAGCGGCGCGGGCATTTGGTGTTTGCTCTCCTTGTTATGCTCTCCGTCACCACAGTCATTGCCTTTCTCATCAGAGGCGGGATTGACTCCTGTGATTGCCGTAGAGGAGTGGGTTCTGGGAAGGTATTTGGTGGTAGTGTGCAAGATTTCAAGCAGAGTGGTCCTGCTGGGATTCGTGGGAGCCCACTCAGTTTCATGAAGTCAAAGCATGTACTTTTGGTTTCTCATGAGCTCTCTCTTTCAGGTACTCTTCTTTTAGGTGTTTATGGATATTAAACACAGATATTTCGTTTTTATCGTAGCAGTAACCTTAGCATTCAACTAGAAAGGTTTCAACTCTATCCAACTATTATTACTATTTGGGCTAAATATATAACTGATCATTTTATCTGAGATTGTGGTCAAGAGGCTTGTACTTAGTAATATATGTTTTTGAGCTGCCAAGTTTCATATTTGGCTCTCAAAAAGCTGGATTAATGGATGAACCAAAAGAAAAATGGGTGAGATTGAGTATATATTAAGTGTCTCTGAATTTAACAACAATAGTGAGTACTTAAGGTGAAAAGAAATGGGATTTCGCAATTAGTATAGCATGAAGATTGAAAGAAGAGAATGAAGTCCAAAGTTTCACATAGTGGATGCTCAAGTCCATCCTTGATTAGTTTTTCAGCTCATGTCCACCATTTTTGCCATAAGATGCAAAGCCTATATTGTCTGAGGCGTCAGGAGAAAAAAAAGCACTCCCCTCACCCATGGAGGGCACATACTTTTAAAAATATTATCTATAGGAGTTCTATAAGAAACTTATAGTACAGAAAATATAACCACCAATAAAAACCACACATAGCACCAATAAAATCTCAAATTAAAACCAATTAATATTTAAATAAAATATTATAGTAACTTTAAACCATTATACTATTACTAAATCAACAAAACATTAACTAGTTTGAGTGACTCATACATCATCCTAAATTTTACAAAGGTATCATATGAGGATTGATTTCATTCGATTAACTAGTTTAACATGAGATTTTATTAACCCGTTGTTCTTTCTTAAATTTGCTGATGTGGGATTTCTCTAAAACAATATGCATAGAGTTGGAATTAAAGACTACAACAAAGTTGTGGGCTGGATAAAGGCTAATGCGATAGTTATTAGGAAAAAAGACAAGGCAACACGTGCTGTGGGATGCACCATCCATTACTGCATCTGGCAGGGATGCTTCTTCCCCACGAAAGAGCGGATACCATTCTCCTCATTGTAAAAGAGCTTTTCCTTAATCTTGAAATCAGGAAATGCATCACAGGGAGTAGCGAGGTGCTGAGATCCCAACTCCCAAGTAGCTTTTCGATTGTCTTGCCATCCCAATGAACTTAGAGGTCTGGCTGATCACAGTTCAAATGCACTTGAGTGGCTGAACTGCAAGGGTCATAACACAATTTAGTTGTTGCAGAGAAACCATAGTCAAAGGAATCAACCCTTGTGTCGTTTGAGAATGGAGACATGTAAGACATCATGGAACTTTCTATTTAAGGGATTCATTAGGCTGAAAGCTGCAGCGCTGCAAAACCACCCAATGTGGGAGTCAACCTTAAATGGTCCAAAAAACTTGTTTATCAGTTTATGATGGCGACAGATCTATGAGAGCTGCTGGTAAGGGTGTATATAGCCAGACCTAATCTTTTATTGCAAATGTAAGCACATGATATCCCTTGCAATATTGGGCATTTATTCAGGTTTTTGCTTGGAGCATGTGATCTTTCGGAGTGGCAGGAAGCCCATCTTGGTCCAAGAGCTCATGCTCATCCTCTTCAAGTTTAGCTGACTCCTTAGTGTAAGAAAGTCAGATGTGATTTTAGGGGGGTCATACAAGAAAGTCAGATGTGATTTTAGGGGGGTCATACACTTGCCCGTGCACGTCACAGAAAATGGTTTCACCCAAAGCAGATGATTGATCACCATTGTTTTATCATGTGTTTGTGGGTGATATACAAAAGGGAACATCAGTTTGGTGTCACTGTGGCCAAACAACTCTCCCCCAAAGTAGCTCACAAAGACATTATCCCGTTATGAAATACTACACTTCGGTAATTTGTGCATGTGAAAAATTTGGAGAGGAAAATTGCAGCCATCTTCAATATGGTATACACATGGGACACTTCAATGAAATGAGCAGCCTTGGACAGCCAATCCACAACCATAAAAATGACTGTTTTACCCCTCATAATAGAAAGCTTTTTGATAAAATCCATAAAGACATTACCTAAAGGTTTTGCGGATCAGGTAGTGATTGAAGTAAGCTGGTGAGCTTGGAGGTTTGCTGGCAGGTTTGGTAATGCTTGACAAACTCTTGACAATCATTTGACTGTTTTTTGAGTACACCATATGCCATGGAATGGAATATAGAAACTAGTGTGGGCACTACATTAAATGACAAAAGCAAGTCAACGTGACTTGTGATGAAAGAATAACAGCCCATCACAAACCATCCAGCCACCGTCTAGAGTTCCGTCCTCAAATTAGTGGCACATGTCTCATTGCAACGGTGATATTAATTACAACAATATGAATAATTAATGATAAGAATAATATTTTTATATAAGGATAAAAGTAACACTTTTTGAATTTCAATGAATAAAATAATTTTAAACCTTATATAACAAACATATATGTAAGAAATGGATAAACGAAAACCACCCTTTAGGTGAGTGACGACATTAGGTGAGAAACTCTTCATCTTATCTGTTAAGGAGTCATCCCACATCGAAAGTTCAAGAGTAAAATAATTGGTATATAAGCTCTTGAGTTGAACTAACTAATCGATTGGATTCAATCTTTTAATGTGGTTCAACCTAATAGTCTTATTACCCAATCCAGTTGTCCATACCCATCCTAAATTCTATCATGGTATCGGAGCCAAGGTCACGAGTTCGATTCCCAACGGGGAGCAATTGCTGATGGGGAGATTGTTGGCCATGCGTGCAGCAATTGTCCCGTGGCGGAGGCTATGTGGGCCAAGTCACAATCAAATGTCGTGGGCGCTTATGTGTTGAATATCCTATAAGACTAGGGTATGCGCCTCTTCTAACACCAATTGGTTTTAGAAGAGTTGGTAGCGCCTGAGGTCCAACAAGATCATGGTATCGGAGCAGGTTTTGGCCCACCTCGTTTGTCAAGGTGTCCGTCTAGATGTTCATTCCTAGCGGCCCGTCAGTCTTTAGCCCAATTGTCCGTATGGAGTATGTACCCAACGGCCTGTGGCCCATTTAACACGATTGCTCGTATGGAAGTCCATACCCAGCGGCTCGTGGTCCTTTAGGTGTTGGTGCTAAAAAAAACTATCAAGGGAATGGAAGTTCATTTGCAAGTGGTCTACCGGTTAGATTCAAAATGGCCTGGTTGTCCACTTGAGGGGGAGTGTTAGGGGTCATCCCACATCGAAAGTTCAAGAGTAAAATAATTGGTATATAAGCTCTTGAGTTGAACTAACTAATCGATTGGATTTATATCTTTTAATATGGTTCAACCCAATAGTCTTATTACCCAATCCAGTTGTCCATACCCATCCTAAATTCTATCATTATCCATCCAATTTTGATCTTACATCTCTAATTAAACATCAACCCTAGTTTCCTCTGCCGGGAGGAACCACAAGCGGCCCGCCAATCTCCGTCGCCGGCATGGACCCCCACCCCGGCCTCTGTCGTCGGCCACCTTGCTGACAAACACCGCGGGCCTCCGTTGACGGCCACCAACGTCAGCTTAGTCGCCAACATGAACCACCAACGCCCCAATCCAATCTTAGCCATTAGATCAAGATTTGATGGTTTCAATTGACAGTGCTCACCTAATGGTGTCGCACATCTAAAGGGTAGTTCCCACCTGAATCCTCCTGTATATACAACATATCAATTGAAATATTTTATATTTATGATGAAATGAAGTACAAAATAAACAAAAAAGTGTTCATTTTTTAGTAAACAATTGATGACGAATGCAAACCCTATTAATAGGAAAAACAATTAAAAGAAAACAAATAGTTTCTTGTGTCTCTCCATTACTTCATGTTGTGTGTTGTGTTCCTCAATTAATGTAGATGGTTGAGATACTTCTATGTTTTATTGTTATAGATTAAAATGGACGTATAAAGCAGAACTGGACAGGCTATGCAGAATCGTACTGTAGGCCTTCACGGTAAAACAGATCAGAGTTCTTATCAAAATGATCTGAGCTTTTTCAAAGACATGGTGTGCTTTTGTTTTGCATTGGGTTCTTTCATTAGCTGTTCTAAATTTAAATGAGTGTGGTATATTTTTTATTGAAAGAGTAAAATTAAAGGGGCTCTTATTGATTATTTGGTATTGTGATCAGGGAGCACAATACCAGGATGGGACGTTTTCTTGATGTGGTTGTGTCTGGCCTGGATCGACCTCAATTAAATGAAGTCTCTACCCATTCACAATAAATTATAAATGAAACTTGCTATGCCTTCAAATTCACATAAAGAAATGTGATTTTTTTCTGATGTCCTTATCCTATTCCGTTGGGCCTAGCATTGATGACACTATATACTTGAGGATGTCACTTTGATTTTCTACAATTTATTCAGTACTTCAGTAAATAGTAGTACACTGATCTTATGGAGTAACTTAGATTATTCCCTGGATTCTTTGTTTTTTTGTTGTGCCCAGAGCATAGTGGGCATTTAGTAAGTGCATAGTACGGAGAAGAATAAAAGAAAAGAAAAAAAGAATTAACCACCCGTTTATTATCGCATTTGTATATTTTCATACATTTGTTGTTCAATTTTCATATTAGGCGGGCCTCTCTTGTTGATGGAGCTGGCTTTTCTTTTGAGAGGTGTTGGTACTGATGTCTGGTGGATCACAAATCAAAGACCAGCCGAAACAGATAATGTCATATACAGTTTGGAACATAAAATGCTTGACCGAGGAGTACAGGTTATAATTAGTTGATGCTAAACTTTTTCCTGATTTTCTTCCATTCAATAGCGTTATCATTCTGTGGGCTGCCATGCACATGTTTGGCAACTTGTGTGTGTGATATTCTTGTGAGAGAAGTTCTATGTTTTTTGCCATGGACCTAAGGTCAGTAAGGTCCACATGGACCTTCTCACACAAATATTAATTTTAAATATTAAAATAAAAAAAGTAAAAAATATTTATCTCAGTGGTAAGAAAATGCTTATTTAGCTTATATGATGGTCCATCATGGACTTGAGGCCCATGCAAGAATTAACCTTTTTGTGATGCTAACATGTTGCTCTACTACTGTGATCCATTCTTCCACTAATAATTTGATGTACTTCGTTTAGGTTCTCCCTGCAAAGGGCCAAGAGGCAAAAGATGCTGCTCTAAAAGCAGACTTGATTGTTTTAAACACAGCAGTTGCTGGAAAGTGGCTAGATGCTGTTCTCAAGGACAATATTCCTCATGTCCTCCCCAAAGTTCTCTGGTGGATTCATGAAATGCGAGGCCACTACTTCAATCTGGATTATGTAAAGCATCTTCCATTTGTCGCTGGTGCAATGATTGATTCCCATGTAACAGCAGAATACTGGAAGAATAGGACAACAACACGCTTAGGGTATGCCTTTAGTGCTTTTCTCATCATGTGATTTCAATGAATTGTATATACTCTTATTTATTTCAGCCTGTAACACCATCGTTTTTACATTTAAAAAGTAAAAATAATAAAAATGAAGGGTTACCATTATATACAAATATAGCTAGAAAAATTTCCAATTTATAATTTATTCATTTTCCAGTAATCCTTGAAAGCAGAACTTGCAATGGAATGATTTGGTGCAAGATTTTTTTTCAAGGGTAAGTGTTTACAGGGTTTACAGTTCTTTATTTGCTCCCTTGATATTTCAAAGTTCCTTGTACCTTTACTCTCTTTGACATAGCGAACCGTTGACTGAAGGAGAATGGTGGAAGGACTTTCAAACTTTATCTTGGAGGTTGCTCCTTTTTTGCCTCTGATATGCCTTTCTCCAAAGCTCACAGTTTAGTATCCAGCTTTTCTCTAGAAAAAAAGACTATTTGAATTCTACATGAAAATTACATGTACTTTGGTCTTTGGAGAACTGATATTATACTCCTGTCCCACTATCTCTGTCCCTTTTTACAGTTTTGTCTTACCACTGGCTTTGTCCAATTCCAAAAGCATCCTTACTTTATCCATAATTTGAAATATCAACCACACAATTCTATTTTTTCTTATTTTGCGTGCCAACTCCCTATCTTTCAAACCTAGTGGAATGGAGGGGGGTATTATTTAACTGTATACTAAAAGTGTGTCCATTGTCTAGAACAATCATTATTGGCAATAGTTTCACTTTGGATAAAAAACGGACCAAATCAAAATGGCACAATAAACGTCATTTGCTTCTTTTTATGAAGTTTTGAGTAGTAAATGCGACAATACATCATGGGTCTAGTGGAAACAACTTCGCTATTTTTATCTTGAGGATTCTTGACCAGTCCTTAACAAAGTTGAGATTATATTGGGTTTTGTTGTTGCGTCTAATGCACACATTTTTCATGTACCCTTAGAACATGGAAGAAAGGTAGTGGATTGGAAAAATAATTTTAAATATAAAACAAATAGGTCAAGTATATATTTACACAAGCGCACACACACAAATGATGAACACTCATGTCTTTTTCTATAGTGATTTTGACTCCTGAGAATAGCTTTAATGTTGAATATCATCTCATCCTGTGTTTATATGGCTGAATGAAATGAAATTGTTGGAAACTCAGTGGTCTGCTAACAATGCTAAATAGATTTAAAGATCTTTTTGTGCAATACCCTCTTTATGGGTTGTCCATTTGCTTAATTCACATTATTAGAATTGATAACATAAATCCAATCTAAATTCAAATTTTGCTGAAAATGATTTGTTATTGGTTGTGATTTATATATTTGGCATATGCCGCATATCCCAATAAAAATTCAGCTAGGGTGCATCAACCAATCGGCCCAGTAAAAGGTGGGTGTATTGAGAACGCTTATCCACTCCCATTCAAGTACCTGAATTTTTTTAAAACATATCGATGATATATTACTTTCTTCGTCCAACAAGAGTCTTCTTTGGTTACCATGCATTGTTTATGTTTAAACAAAGTATATAAGATAAAATTTCCATCATCTCCAATGGACCCAAGAATTTACTATTTTTTTGGCTTTGGGGTAAGATGGAATAAAGAAAAATGGCTCTTTAAACTATATGTGCTTCGTTTAATAGTGAAGTAGCAATTGCCAACCCGCTCTATACTTTAAACATAGGGGTCAGGCTGCATTCTTGAGCCGGGGTCTCTTTGGAAACAACCTCTCTACTTTCTAGTAGGGGTAAGGTCACACACCCTCCCAAGACCCTATTTCCGTGGGATTTATAGTTATTAAGGCGTTGCTTCGGTGCTATGAGATGGACACCTCGTCTGAAAACGAGGCGCTTGCCTAAGCGTCGACTCTCGCCTAATTTCGCTTGAAAACACCTGAGGCGATGATGTGTGTGTGTATTGCCATATTGCACTCACCTAAGGGACGCCTAGGCGGATGCCAAATTGCCTAGGCGACTAGAAGGTACTCTGGAGCCCGGCCTCGCCTAGCCGCCGTAACAACTATGACAAGATTCAACTACTTTTGTGGGATTCAACTGGGTTTTTCGTTGTTGTAAAGTGCGTAAGATTAAAATTATGAAATTTTGTTTAAAACTTATTAGGTAGTTAAACCCAATGTTTAATATTCAACTTGTTCCTAACATTTTTTACCAAATTATTAATAGAGTATATGAAAGTAGTTGTGTTTGATGAAATAAGACTTGTTTGGGATGAAAAAAGCTTTTGAGATATAACTTTCTTTTTGGGACGGAGTAAATCATAAATATACAGTAAATAATGCTATTTCTATTTTCTAAGCATGCCTAATTACTTTATTTGTACCTCATGTTTTTTTTGATTGATGGTATAAAAATATCATGCCCAAATCATGACACAAAAATAAAGACTTTAAATTTATTTAATCACCAATTATCATATCTTTTCTTAGATGTACACAAAATCACCTTTAAAGAATCAGTATTTTCATCTGCACTTTATATTTCATAATTTATATTGGATGACACTGTCTGGTTAAAAAACATATTTGAATTTCCAAAGATATGAAATTGGGGTATCAACCCAATATATCTTGTCCACACATATGCAGATATGTGTCTTATGCGTAATTGCTATTGGCATTATATTAGTTGATTTCATAGATAAGCTTACCTTAACCTGCTATAGTTTCTTTGGAGGACCAACATAATATAATTCTTTTCCAGGTTGTTCCCCCTCTGTTTTTTGATGAATATATTCTCTATATTTTTGAAACATAAAGAGGTAAAATGATTAAACTGAATGTTCACCATTGTGACGTTTTACAAATTTTCTTGAACATTCACTATATAGTTTGAATTTCTTAAATTTCAAAAACTTTATTCTTAAATATGTAACACTGTGCAAATTTTGCACTCTTTACCATTATTTCTATGCAAGTGAATTGATCCAATTATCCCCACATTTTTAGTTTACATGCTCTATGTTTTTGAATTTGTCATTGATCCTTTGAAAAAATTGTAGGATCAAGATGCCTAAAACCTACGTTGTTCACCTTGGAAATAGCAAAGAGCTAGTGGAAGTTGCAGAAGACAGTGTTGCAAAAAGGGTTTTGCGTGAACATGTTCGCGAGTCGCTCGGAGTTCGAAATGAAGATATACTATTCGCTCTCATAAATAGTAAGTCTTTTGTATTGATTATTTTATGTTTTGGTTTTGTGATATGTTTATTCACTTCCAAGAGTACCTTTTTTGATCAATTCCAACTTGCTATAAAATTTACAACATGTTTTCCTTAATACTACGTATGCTATTACAATTGTACTGTAATTAGGGAACATAAACAACAACAACAACAACAACCCAGTTAAATCCCACAAGAGTAGGGAACATAAACAATATGCCAAATTTAAGATATTAAATAATAATGCTAATTCCAAATTTGCGACAAAAATGGGGACTATATAAATAAAAATAAATCAAGGAAATTAAATCCCTCAACTTATTGCCAAGGCTGGTGCTCCATGACTGCATCTTCAAAGTTCATACGCCCTCCATAGATCAAGTTTGTCCTCCAGCTTATAAACTCAAACATGCCATTGAATGATTGCACTAGTAGAAAATGTGAGCGATCCTTTTCTTCGTGTCCATGATTTATTTCCTTTACCACCTCATATATTTGATTTTTTTTGTTAATAACACAACCTAAAATATTTCCCAGATCTATAAAATGTTTCTTTCTTGGGTATTCACAACTTCAAAAGGGATATCATTGCTATTCTCCAACATTGAGGAGAAAATTGTTTCCATTACTGTCACATTTGTTGAGTCCTCATTTTACTAAATGCACCTTCAAATACACCTTCTTTAAGACTCTGTTCCATATATTTGACTTATCTCCAGTGAAGATCCTATTTTGATACCTCTCAAATTTCAACCTATCGAAAACCTGAATCCACACCTATTAATTTCCAGTATGACGCCTCTTCCACATCAGCTCGTCCTTATAGGTTTACGGTTTACCACTGTTTTCTTCATCGTATTCTCAGGAATCGTTCTTTTCGCCTTAATTTTAACTGGATTCTGGATTTTAGAGTTGGGAGCCTGTGGAACATTGAAACCAGTAATTGGCATCTGGAATGTGTATTAAAATATTCAACCTTTCCCATAAAGAGGTTTCACATTTCCTTTTCTCTGATCTAAAATAAGGTTACGCATTCTTTTTATGCAAACAATTGTTATTATTTTATTACGTAGTATAATATTACATTTGTAATAACTGTGACCTTTCCAATTCGGAACCTTATTTTAGATTGGAGGATTTTCATGGAGTCTTGAACCTGATACTGTGAACTTGAAATGATAAAGGTTTTACAGAGATTCCTACTGTTGTCCTAGCTGAT